TTAAAATAATATTTTTTAAAAAGTGAGATACATTTAAAAATTAGCAGAAATTAATGTTCAAAAAGCCATTAAAAATTAAGCATAATAAGATACATGTTGAGACAGGAGGCAAAGATGTTATCAGAAGGAAAAAGCTGCAAAAATGAATGAAAATCGAAGAGGACCACAAATGGAAGAAGAGTGCTATAATAGCAATAGAAGAAAGTGAGAAGGCAGAACTGAAGAAATCCACCATCTTAGGTGGCACACAATTAAAGAATTCTGAGATAGCTAATGACTCCAACTGTCACCATCAGAAACATCTGCTAAACCACAAGGTTCTTTACATTAGTTGGACTTGGGTTACATCAAAGTAAAAAGAACTATGTTATAAAACTGGAATTACACAAATTGTATCATGTAAACCTAACAATTTAATGAATAAAGCAATCAAAACATTCACTTAAAACAAGATTCAATGATTTTTTTTTCATGGTTCCACTGGCAGAAAAGGTGCAATCACTCACTAACAGACCTTATAAATTCCTGACTTCCTTACTTAAGCTTACCTAGCAGGCCTCTAAAACTGACTGCATTTTAACTAGAACACCTGCAAATCAACAACTAACATTTTCACTCTAGATTAATGAAACTGCAGCAAGGTCTCCCAATGACATTGTAGAAAAGAATGACATTCCCCCTTCCACAGTTTGATATTTAAGTTTATAAAATAAACTGATAATAGATTGGCATTATGAGAAATGGCATACAAAATTATTTATGTACAATAATATAATTATTAGGGCACCATACAAAACATGACACTCAAAAAAGGGCCTGAGCTGGGGGTATAGCTTAATGGTAGAGCACTTGGCTTGCATGCACAGGCCCTGGATTCAATCCCTAGCACCACAAACATTTTTAAGAGGAGCCTGATGGCTGAATTCAAATAGTATTCTCAGCAGAAAGGAACAGGAGCTTGGGAGCCTGGGGGATGTCAAAGAAGAAGGGGCAATAATAACAACAGGTTATCTCAGGGTAAAGAGAAGAAATGCACTGGGAACAAAGATGTTGCCCCATACCCATAAAGTATCTCAAGTAAGAGCCTCAAAATAATATGTAACATTCTGTGGAAACACTGGGGTCTTAGAGGGAAGTAGGGAGTCTTATGATCTTTCCTAAACCCAGATAATAAAGCCTTACAGAAAGCCTGTTTGCAGAGCTGTTTATTTCACTAATGTGGGTTTCCTCTACAGATGCAACTCTCCCCCACAAAGGGACAGCTTTTCAGAGCTATTCCTGTGTCTCTAGCCACTCTGAATAGCCATCTGGAAATATGCCAAAGAAGCACACTTTGGTGGCATATTTTAATCTCACACAGCATTCAAAAAAAAAAAAAAAAAGGACACATTAACTCTAACTTGATATGCAGCTCTAATTAAGGTTCAAGGTAAGCAGAGGAAGGAGAAGGACAATAACAAAAAACCAAGAGAACATCATTTGCACTAAGTGCCCCTTAAGGCAGACAATTATTGACCATGTATTTACATGGGAATTTTTTTGTAGCCTGAAAGTGACTGAGCTAACAGCAAGGAAACAAATGAACATACAATGCCTACTTATACCTAATGAACCACAGAAAGTAATGTCTAGTATTTACTGTGCCCTTACTATTGCTAGGCATAATTAATCTTCACTACTATGCTATGAGGCAGGTACTTTCAATAACCACACTTTACATATGAGAAAACCTAGGCACACAGTAGTTAACTCACTTGTCTGAGAGTCATGTTAAGTGGCTGAGAAACAAATCCTTTCTCTATAATAAATATGTTAAAAATTATGCTTTCATAACTATCTATAATTCTACTACTGTTCTCCTTAAAGGTACCAAAATTTAACATAACAAAACCCCACACTTACTGCAAATAATAATTTTCATATAATTCACTTTAAAAATATGAAAGCCTTTGAATTCTAAAATTTTAAGCAATTAGTTTTAGCATAAAAATTTTACACTGCTAGACTACTCTGAGATGTTCATCTAATATTTTAATCTACATGATAGTTTATCTCTTTCCAATGAGAAAACTATCAGCATTCCCACCAACAACGCAGCAAATTGTTTTAAAATTCAGAATAAAAAGCTCATCCAACTTTACATCATTTCACAAAGAACAGCATTCAACCAAATTTCTCCATCCTTAGAAGAGAACTTCATCACAAATAATCCAAAAACTATTTACAGTTGGCACTAGAATACTTTAGAAATAAACAGTGTGAATGTGATAAAGCAGAAAAAACTCTTGCCTGGAGTCCAGAAACTCTGCCCACTAATCCTGGCTCCAGCACTTAACTAGCAATTTAGTCCCTTCAACTGTTCTGGGCCTTAGTTTCCTGATTTGCAAAACAATCATCTCCATGGCCTACTCTTCCAACTCTAAAAAAAATATGACTCATACACATACATCTTTTCCAAGCTTTGCATTCTCATTCTGTTTAGTTATTATCATCACTTCATAGCCAGTAAGCATTATTATTCTTAGTTCTACAACAGGAGAAAACAGACCAATTTAATCAAGATGAGAAAAGAGTCTTCCCAACAACTGGTTTGCCATAGATAATTCTCAAGGTGAATAATGGAGGAGACATAATGTTAAAAGGTGTTAAGTTTCAATATTTTAGGCTACTGTTTTGTATGCCAGTACATTCTCCCTAAGGACAAATAGTAAAATTCAAGGACAATAGGGATAAAAAAAAAAAATGACTATTCATTAGTTATTCAAGAACTAGAAGGCCAACCAAAAACATTACAGCACCTTTTTTGCAGAATTGTTTTTTCTGATGGATTAAAGGGCAAAGTATGATCTAGAAATTTTTGAAAAGTATGTTTAAGTACTCCCTAATCAATGAGCTTTCATTTTGTAAACTGTAGAGTATGCAACAAATATAAGGAATTAGTAATATTCATGATTAAGAGAATAAAAAATTAAACCCAGGCACAAATGGTGATTGCTGTAATCCCAGCAACCTGAGAGGCTGTGGCAGGAGGATCCCAAGTGGGAGGCCCACCTGGGCAACTTTGCCAGGCCCAGCAAAATAAAAAATAAAAAGGGCTGGGGATGTGGCTCAGTGGTAAAGTGACCCTGGTTTCAATCCTCAGTACACACACAAATACACACAAAAATTAGAAGAAAGAAAGAAAAAAAAGATTAAAGATCTAGAAGTGTAGTTATTAGCTTACTCTTTTCAGTGAAATGAAGAATCTTCTTGGACTGCCACAAAGGTAGACTCTGTGAACAGCCACTGACTAATCTTGGTAATCCTTGTCTCTGTTCCCAGTCCATTCTCAAAAGTGTTATGTAAATGTAATATTTTTAAAATTAAAATTATGCATTTGACATTAAGAGTCCCAACTGTCAGAACTCAAGTTAATTTCTTGGTAAGCTGTTAGCTTACCAATATCTTCCCAATTCAACACTTAAAATATTTTAAAACTTCTATGAAATATATAGTTCAATTTTGCATGACCTTGTAAAGAAACAAAAGAAAAAGCATGAATTAAACTTCTAGAATAGAAGTTAGTGGCAAATTATAATAGTACAGTTCAGACTAAACACTAAATAGGGAAGTAAGTCACCAGTATAGAGTGTCTGCTACAAGAATTTTAAGGTGTAGTTATAAGAATGTCCAGCAAAACTAGCAACTGAAAAAATACCATCAAATATATACAGACAATTTAATATAAAGGATCACTGACCAAGTCCAGCGACAAGCCACCTATGGGGTTGAAATGCCAAAAGAAAATGTCAAAACCTACTAGTAACTGTGTGATCCCCCAAACCTTTGAAAGTTCAGAACCAAAGATGTACTTACACTGTTTCACAGCATCATTTAAACGCAACTCCCTCTCCACAAAGTCACTCTGCTTTGGCTACTCCAATACCCAAATCCCAGCACCAAAGAATCTTAAGAGCCCAAATTGCTGCACCGGGGTCTTCCCTGCGCCCGCCTCCGCATCCTTTCCTAACCTACACCTCGGGTTAAACCTCCAGAGATGCTCCAGTCACTTCTCCCATCCACACTCGCTGGTTCCCTCCTTCATCTCCCAGCGGACCTTTCCTCTTCGACCTTGAGGACTCCCCAGATCGAAGCAGTAGAGCCCAAAATGACTTGACCGGTGCCCCCTTCCCTTGAGCCCCCACTCGGTGGCCTGCCCCCGACCCGAATCACGAACACTCTCCTAATACCCGGGACGACCCCCTTTTCCCTTAGGTACCCTACCTTCCTCCAAACTGAAAAGGAATTCTTCAGAAATGCACTGAGAGCCTACTACGCGCAAGCTCCTACTACGCGCCGCGCGGTTTGCATCGGCTCACGGCCCGGGCTTGCGGTCCTCTTCCCGGCCGGCCCATCCCGGCCCCAGGGCCCGTGCCACCTCCGCAGGGTGCGGAGGCGCCGGCCGGAGGCGGACTGCGCCGGGAGCGGGCACTGGGGCAAGGAGAGGTGGCCACTAACGGCGGCGCAGGGGCCGGGGGCAGGCGGCCGGCTGGACTACCGCGGGGACACTCACCGGCCGGGACGCACGGGACGGCCTCATCCAGGGCACCTGCGGCCAGGCAGGACGGGCCCGGACGGCTCAGTCATCAAGAGGGCGAGTCCGCTCGCCAGCCGGTGCGTCCCGTCCCCTCGGACTGCCCAGCCAGCGCAACCTCGCTTCCTCCGGACGAAGCCCGGAGACCCCAGCTCGGCCGGATGCCCCCGCCTGGCCCCCACCCCCTTCCCCGGCCACCTCCCCCTCTTCCCTCTTTTCCCCTCCCCCATTCCCCCAACCCCCACCGGAATGGAAAATACCTCCCGGGGCTGGGGGCGGGCGGGGGCACGCCTCTCTGAAGGGCAGCCTACCGTGACCAATAGCAGGCGGAGCTTTGGTGGGGCGGGATTCCCAGCGGCCAATCCGGAGGCGTCTAGGTGAAGGCCGAAGGAGGGAGGCAGAGAACGAGAAGGGGGCGGCCCGGGAGCCTGGGAGGTCCGGCCGCTCGGGTGCGCGCTGTGCGCGGCCTCCATTTTGGAGTCGGGCAGCTGCGACGGAGGCCGGGTCCGGCCAGGGAAAGGAAGGAGCCAGTCAGGTGAGAGGGAAGCGGTCACGTGGATTGAGGGGCGGGGTAAAGTGGGCTGCTGCCCGAGAGGAGGGGTGGGTGGCAAAGAGTCATCAGGGCTGAGAGTCACGTGGATGCAGAAGGGCTGGGGGTGGGTTTGGGGCTGGAAGGTCAACCTCAGGTAGGACCCGGGGGAAGTCTTTGTCCCAGCATTCAACTGTCGTGAGGGAGGAGAGGAAAATACTGAATGGAGGGTGTGAGTGCCCGGTAGGAAAATGTGAATGAGTCTCCCTAGCTCCCTCCAGCATGGAGCCACTCAGTCACAAAATTTCAAGATCCACGGGAAACCGGGCACCTCATTTAATTGAAGTATTCCCATTCCCTGTCTCAGCCATCACAAAGATGACTCACAAATCGGTGGGAGGGGTGTTCTGTCATCCTCTTTTTGCTTGTACTTTATGTGGAAGGCCCCCGCCCTAGAAATGGCTGAAAGGGTAGAGGAAGAGAAACAGTTGAGGAATTGTAACGCCCACGGGACTCTCCATCTGGCCTTTTAGAAACCTGATCGTCATTCACAGAGTCACTGGCCACTTCCTAAGTGTTACACATCCATGGTTGCATTCCAAAGTCTCCAAACTAAAAATAGTAAACTAAAAAACTTGCCTCTGACACCTTGTCAAATTCTCATTCTTTATTTCAGTTTGTGCTTCAAGAAGTCTGAATTATTCTACCTACTAGTCCACCGGAGAGTGCTCCTCCTAAGGCTACCCCAGTGACATCATATGATGGAGTGCAAGGCTCACAGTTTAGACTTTATCTTACGTGATGGTGAACTGCATCCTTCTTGAAGGTTTTTATCTTTCCCCTCAGACCCCTTAACCTATATGTCTTTCTCTTCAGGTAATTTTTCTCAGTCTCTTCAATCCTTATCTTCAGTTTTAGGTGGCTCATAGTCCTACTACTGCACACTAGGCAATCTAACCATTCTCCTGCTTGCAAAAGCTGAATGTACGTACATTTAGTGAGATCCAGATCTGCATATGTGCCTTTTGGACAGTCCACTTGCCTACCAACACCATGTCCAAATTGGACCTCCTATGCTTTCTGAAGTACACAAAATGTGCTCCTCTATTCCTTTTCTTCTTTGACAATATCGCTGTCCACTCACTTTCCCAAGTCTAGAACCAGGGGTAATCCACCATCCACTTCCTCACTGCTTCAGAATATCTCTACTTGTAGAGTGATCTGGAATGCCCCCGAAGTCTAGTATGTTAAAACTTGGTCTCCAGCTTGGCACTATCCAGAGGTGGTGGAACCTTTAAGAGGTACAGCCTAATAGGAAGTTTTCATTCATTGAGATTTTGCCCTCATAGGAGATTGTGGAACCCTGTTTCTTCTCTTTCTCTTTCTGGTCAGGGTGTGAGCACGTTTACTCCACCACATAGTCCCACCATAATGTGGTGTCTTCATCCCCTACTAGAGGCCTAAAAGTAATAGGTCCATCCTATCATGAACTGAAATCTCCCAAAACCCTAAGCATTTTTTTCTTCATTAGTTGATCATCTCAGGTATTACAGTGGTGGAAAGCAGATCAACATATACTACCCTTTCTTACTTTCTTTTTGTTTATTTTATTTTCATTTGTTCTACTTAGTTGTATATGACAGCAGAATGTATTTCAAATGCCCTCTCCTGTCCATTTCCATTGCCATTTATTCATTCGGCCAATATTTGCTTAAAATGTGCCAGGCATTGTTTGAGATGCTCAGGATATATTGGTAAACAAAACTGACAGTGTTACTGAATAGGGTGAGACAAATGGTATATGAATAAATTAGTAACTAAAGAAAACAAATCAAGGTTGATAAGTGTTATGAAGACAATAAAATAGGAACATCTATCAGAACCTCAGAGTCTGTTGCCCAGCTCTTCACTGCAGTTTCCCTGCCCCTCTTCTAATTCTTTCTTATTTTCAGGATCCTTGGTCCTAATCCTTTCATCTGGAATCTTGCTTTCATTCCCTTTCATCTAAAAGGACTTTCTGGTCTTTATGTTGTTATGTTATAGCTGCCTAAATAGCAAATCTCCCAAATAGATGATAAGCTATTTGAGATCAGAGATCATTCATACCTTATATATCTTTGTGCCCCTGCAGTGCTCAAAGATGAGTATTAAATGAATCAGTGAGTCCCCTGACACCTGAATCAGGATGCCATAAAAACAACTCCAGCCTGTATCAGAATGGGAAGATCTGAAACTCACCAATTTGATGGAATAGGAATGATACCTGGAGGCAGGGGACAGGATTATGAATGAGGTCACCTATTTTGGTACCTTCCAGACCTGAGATTCCACAATGCTATTCATCATGTATTGCAGTAGTTACTTCATAAATACTGGTTTACTTGAGAGTGTCAAGTACATGGGGCAATTTATAAGTATTCTGTTTCAGATGATGAGCCTCAAACCCAGAGAAGTCTGGGTGAATTGCCAGGATAGGCCCTGCAGGGGAAGGTTGCAATTGCTACTTCACTTTGTATTTCCAGGCCCTTGGGTATTGCACCCCAACAGGGAACGGGATGTTGCCAGTTCCGTCATAGTCATTGTAATTAAATCCTAGTTCTGGCAAAGGGCAGTACATAATTATGAAGTATTATGGTTTTTCTCATTATTAGGCACCCAGCTGCCCAGCCCAGGAAACCACAGTAGTAAAACACTGAGAAGCCAAGCTCCTCTCCCAGCTGGCATGAATCAATACCAGGTGTATTGGCACATAGTTTTACAGCTCCAAATTCATCAAGATGAGACCTTCTGTCCCTTCTTTTTGGCAAGATAAAATTTTAAGTAAATTGTTAGAGGAAATGTAAAGAAAGACCTTTGCCACCACTTTTGAATCAAATTAACAGCCTTTTCTCATCTACATACCTACTGCATAAACTTTTTTTCAACTTTATCCTTGACCTGCTCACTTCCTAAACATCATTCTACAATGTCTCCTGACATTAAAGGGCACTCAATTAGGGTGAGAGTATAAAACACAAGGAGTGCTTTTACTTTCAAGAAGCTTATCATGTAGACTACTAATTCAAAAAACATAGTCAGGTTTGACAAGAAGCCTGCCACTTACTGAACACATACCCAGTGCCATAGTTGGCATTTTCACCTATTTTATCTGATTTAATCCACACCACTCTGCAAGGGAGGCTTTATAATCCCCATTTTCTTCAAAGTTACAAAGGCAGTAAATGACAGAACTCAAGAGTTCAACATAAATGCAGAAATTTGGTGATTGTATACTCATACTGGATTTTTCCATACTGGTAGCTGAATTTGTATTCAGATTTCACCTCTTTCTATCAGATAAAAATGGTTTCTTGAATAAAGTAGATCTTAAACTGAGCACTGGAAGGATAATTCGGAAGTGATTCTGAGGGAATGGTGCCAAAGAAGGAGGCCAAATTGGCCATAAGCCTAAAATCAATCAGTAAGGGAGATTTTTTTGTCCGGAGATGAGTCATATTATATTCTTCAAGTACCTTTATTGTCTCAGCTACTCCAAATGGGGAAGTCAATCCATGTGGTTCTGGGTTGGGAGTCAGGAGCTGAGGAAGGGTAGGCCAAGGATAGGTGTGGGTTGTTTCAGGAGGCAATATTTTGAATGGAGAACTCCCCAAATGCCGATAACTGGCATACCTAGCAATGCTGGGTGAGGCTGATTGTTACAGGGAGAAGGACTATTTGTGTATGTGGTATTATTGGGGATCAAACCCTTACTCTTGCACATGCTGGGCAAATACTCTGCCACCGAGGTACACCTATTCCTCAACTTTTGTTTAGATGACTCCAAAATCTAGATTTCCAGCCTTGACCTTGCTTTCAACATTTAGATCCCCATTTTCAGCTACCCACTTCACTTGTCAACAGGGGTCTTACAAACAGGCATCTCAAACCAAACAGGACTAGTGGCAAATGCTTTAACTTAACTATAAGAAAACTCCAAACTGCCATTTCCTTCCCAAGCCTTTTTTTTTTTTTTGTATTCCCCAGTTTGGTAATCATCGTCTACCAAGTCATATACTCTAGAAGTTTTTCAAAAGAATCTTTTCTTCTCCCTCTCTTCCAGCTCCTAATGTCAGTAAGTGATTCTAAAGGACACACACTTCTTTTAATAGGTACTTCCCATTTCCACTGTCCTCATTCAGACACTTATCTCAGTTGCATGATTGCAAAAAACTCCAAACTCCTTTTTTCATGCTCCAATTCATGCACCAATCTGCCACTATAATTTCTTTTGGAAACCTAGATCTATATGACTTTTAATTACCTGCTTTCATGGGCTGTGCAACTGCATGCAAGATGGCATTAAAAATATTTTTACTTCCACCCTGGACTCCTCTGCTCCCCACTACAGGGAGTCCTGTATTTATTTTCATCTTTCTGTGCTTTTCATCCACTCTTTGCCTGCATTGTGCTGCCTCTTCCTCCACCTAGACACTCCTTTTCATTTTCCATAGGCCTGTTTAAATGACTTTTCGTCAGTGAAGCCTTTCCAGACCTCTACCATAAAAATAGTCCTTCTCCCTGTAACAATCAGCCTCATCCAGCATTGCACCATACATTTATCACACTGAATAGACACAATGGTGAAATAGAACTGGGGAGCTGAGTTAGAAGACAAAAAAATCTAATGGGTCATTCACTGTGCCATCCAATGCAAGTCACAAAACCTCTCTGAGCCTCAGTTATTTTACTTATAGAATTGTAGTAAAAACAACTATAATTACAAAGCTGTCTTCCGATGGGTTCTAAGTACATTGAGAGCAAAACAAACATCTGGTCATCTTTCTATTCTTTCCCCAAAATAGCACCTATCTCTGCCTGTTCCATAGATTGTTTTATGATAGAAATTACTATTTTTTTGTAGAATTATATTCTCCCAATTATTCCCTTAATCATCTTATCCTAATAATGTCTCTTAAAAGACAATCATGACATCTTCATTTCTTTGTATAATTGTTTATTGCCTTTATAGTTAAATAGTCACATAAGAAGGTCTCTGAAGGGACAAAATATATATTTTATACATGATAAATTTTAGAGGCCTTTATTTACTGGATAAAAACTTTGGAAAGCCATAACAGTGCCCTATTCTAGACATTTAATCATATGGAAATGAAACAATAGTTCTCATAAAATATTACAGTGATGAACAATAAACATAAACCTAGATTCTAATCTATATAGTTAAAATGTGCAGCCAATAGAAGATGAGCCATTAGGTAGATGAAAGTTCAGTTTTTAGAGTTCTAGTTCCATGGCAGTCACTGTGCTAGGTGCAGAGAATACAGAACTCAATGAATAAAATTCTTTGTTAAAAAAATTCACAGATTAGTGGAAACATTGTCTCATAGTTTAGTAATTTCAGTGGAATGTTTAGGCACAATGACAAAGCTAAGCACAAGTTATAATGAGAGAGTATCAAGAAGGAATACTGAGGCTAGGGTTGTGGCTCATTGGTAGAGTGCTTGCCTCACATGTGTAAGGCACTGGGTTTGATTCTCAGCACCACATATAAATAAATGAATAAAATGAAGGTCCATCAACAACTAAAATATATATTTAAAAGAGAAGGAACACCTAGTGCAGCCAGCTATTTGAACCAGAAGTCCCACCTTCTTGAGAAGAGAACTACTGAACTTTCTTGACATTTATAAATACGTGTAGCAATCCACATTCTAACCTTTAATGTAATTCTTTATGAGTCAATAATTAAGTATGATCCTCCTCAACAACACCTTCCAGGGTCTCCAATTTATTTATTTTTTTTTAAAAAAAATGTTTTTAGTTGTA